AACTGTGCAACAATAAATGAGTATTAATAAAGTGAACTAGGGGAGCTCTGGTGGCCTAGTGGCAAGAAGCTGCACTGCAATCCCAGAGGTGCGCAGTTCGAATCCACCAGATGCTCTGCTGGAGAAGGAGGGACAATCTCCTGTACCAGTCAGATCAGATTTGACAGTACATGCAAAAGTAAACTAGGGGAGAGGGGAGGAGGAAAATGAGCAACAATGAATGGATGAAAATCCAACTTTTCTATAAACTTTCATTCAAATCAAAATTAGTATTATGAGAAATAGTATTTTCTAAATGAAAGAATTTCTAAAATAAAGAAAGTTTAAGCATTAAGAAAAAATTAAGCAAGATGAAGTAACTGGTGAGAGATGAGCCAACTGATGAACGGAATCAACTTCTCAAATGACTTCCTATTCTGCACTGTATTCTCCAAGCATGAGAAACAGATACGCTGGGACCAAGACTTGACTGGAAAACTAGAGGCAAAAGTTGAGAGTTTGCTGGTGCACTGAAGACGGAATACGTAAGAATAAAAAATATTTAGGAAATCGAAACCATTTTAAGACTTTATGACATACACAGGATAAAGAATGGTGATCAACAGGGAAAGTATGTTATTATCAACCAAGAGAATACAGCACTAATTACAGGCCAAGTACCCCTCTAAGGGTAGAACACAAGTAAGTCAATGAGACATTCTGAGGAAGTTGGTTATGGCAGTCAGAAGGGCAGGGCTCAGGGACAGTCGAAGAAAAACATTTTGGGACTTATTAATATGTAGATTTTAAGTACATGGATGCATGGTAAAAATTTATGCAAAAAAGTATTTGTGCATGTGTGCATTTTTCTGAATAGCTAGGGGGAAAAAAATATAAACACATAAAGATTTGGCCATTACTTAAAATTTTCCATTACTCAAAAACCTTACCCATATCTAACATCTTAACTTGGACTGTACAGTGTTTAACTTGGACTATACAGTGTTTAAGGCCCTTCACAATCTGGTCAGCCTTTCAATCACTTTTTTGGGCTTCCCAACTCTTCCCGCTTGACTCTTCCTTCTTCGAACTCCTGCTCAAATGTCTCCAGATACAGTAACTGCACTTACATGACTTTCTCTATTTCTAAAGCCAGAGAATCTTAAGAGTTTACAGGGAAACTCCAAATACCCAAGACGCAAACCAGAAGCCCTTATAGGGGCCAAGCAACAGGTGACACTTATTTCCAGCAAACTGTTGTCACAAAGAGACACTGAAAACTCAGTATTTTTGGGGTAATCATCACAGTTGTAGAAGCTGGCAACTGATTCATGTTTTTCTAAAACACTGTGTACACAAAAACCAACT